CCATAACTTAGAGGCCAGCGGGTATCCTAGAGGAAAGGGCAGTTCAAATAGAGAAGGGAGCACTAAATAAAGGATGTTTGGAGGATCCTCCCAGGAGGGGAGATGCATGTCGAAAGTAGATTATGTACTGAACATGTTTGCCACTCAATGCCTCTTTTGCAGACCACAACACCCAAAAGGAGAGAGAGAACACAGGGGACTGCCCTGCCACAGAGACAGGGGGAATGGGGGGATGGGGGTGGGAGGGATATTATCCATGGTGGTGGAAAATGGGCACTGGTGGAGGGATGGGTATCTGATCATTGTATAATTGAAACCAAAGCACAAAAAATTGTAAATCTACAACTGTAAAAAAAAATAAAATAAAGGGAAAAAAAAAGTTTACTGTCACTGTCCTCCCATTGTTCATCAATTTGCTCTAGTGGGCACCAGTAACGTCTCACAACAAATTGTGAGACTTGTTACCGCGTTTGGCATATTGAATATGTCATGGGTAGCTTGCCAGGCTTTGCTGTGCGGGCGAGATACGGTAACTTGCTGGGCTCTCTGAGAGGGGCGGAGGAATTGAACTTGGCTTGGCCGCGTGCAAGGCAGCCCCTTATGTGCTGTGCTATCACTCCAGCCCATTTATTAGTTTGGAATGTATTCATTGCTGAATCCCAGAGATTCTTTTTGTTTGTTTCAACCCTCACTCCCTCTACCATTTGGATTTATTATGTACCTTCACTGCTATTTCCCTCAAAGTCTGGAATGATATTCATAAAAGATCCATTTTCGGATAATAGCATTCTGCTGTAATTCACTGTCATTCATGCAAGTAGCCATGGAAAGAGATCAGAAAGATAACTCAAAGAGCTGGTACATATAACTTGTATGACAAAATATGAGTTTGATTCCCTATATGTCTCCAAGGCACCCCTGGTTGTTGTCCTGGATGCTTCCATCCTGACTCTACAGTGTGTGACCCTGGTAGCATTCAGCACTACTGGGTTAAAGCACCATTGCATCACAGGCTGAGCATCAAATCACTAAGTTTGTTGACTGAGTATTATGGGGAGAGGCCCTGGATCTCCTGAACATTGCTTGGGAGGCCTCCATCTCAAAATCCAAACAACAACACAAAATACTTTCCCCTAAGGAAGATATATGAACATTTGCCTATCCTTTTGCTCATATATCCTATTTCATCCACTTCAGTTCCTGCTGTCGACGTGCAGCATGGTGAAGGCATTGAGGATACTCAGAATTTAAATGTATGGGGAAAATTCTTTCTCTAGATATTGTTGTTTGGAGATCATACCTGGCAGTGCTCAGTTGCTACTCCCAGCTTTGTGCACAGGAGATGCTCACGACAGTGTTCAAAGGCCAGGAGGTGCCAGTATCAAAGTCAGGCTGCCTTCATGCAAAACTTGACATCCAGTCTGTTGAACCATCTCTCACGTCATTCTGTAGCTCATTTTAATATTTCTCTCAACATGTTAAAATAATATCCCATCCCAAATAGAAATCAGCAAAGGCAAGGAGCGCAAATCTTTCATTCTATATTAGTTTGTATTTATCCAATAATAGACACAACTTTACCTTTTCACTATCTTCTAGTTTGATAATTTTTCTATCATCATTCATGCTTGATATGGTTGAGAACTCAGACGTTGGTTTAAAAATAAGCCCACTGGCTCCAGTTCAGAGAATGTCTGTGAATGCATAAATGTCAATGACGACCATTACCTTGAGGATTTTCATTCACCACGCCTACAATTCCATGAAGCACAACTAATATTTTTTTCACTTCAGTTTTATTTATTTATTTATTTATGTAAATGGAATCACCATAAGGTACAGTTACAAAGCTTTCATGATCGGGTTTCAATCATACAGTGTTCCAATACCCATCACTCCACCAGTGTACATTTTCTACCTCCAGCATCCCCTGTATCCCTCCTGCCACACCAGTCCACCTGAGCCTGCCTCTATGGCAGGCTTTTTTTTTTTGCCTTTGTCTCTCTCCCTCTCTACTTTGGCGCCCTATTAATTTTATACTTTATATAAATAGTTATGGGACTCTTGTTTGAAAAACTCAAACAAGTAATGCATTTGTAGCAGATCACTTTGAAATGTACCATTAAGAATGAATGTTGGGAAAGGAGAGAGAACAAAAGGGAATGCCCTGCCACAGAGGCGGGGTAGGATGGGGGGGAGTTGGGGGTTGGAGGAATACTGGGATCATTGATAGTGGAGAATAGGCACTGGTGGAGGGATGGGTACTAGATCATTGTATAACTGAAACCCAAGCACAACAATTTGTTAGTCTACAACTGTACCTCATGGTGTTTCACTAATAAAAATTTTTTAAAAAAAGAAAATAAAAGAACGAATGTTTGGGTATGGTGCCACCAGCAGGTCAATCTGTACCTGTGAGGTGAGTACATCAGCAACCTGATGGTGCCTTCACACTTCTAGATACCCCAAAATCTCTACTGTGCCTTTGTCCAGACCCCAACAACTTGGGGCCAAGTTTACCAAGAAAGTAAACAGCCAAAAGTTAAGTATGTGGGAGACACACCCACAAACCACCTCCTGCTCAGCTATATAATTGGAAGCAAGGCTTCCTGTTCCTGATCAAACTGCTTAACAGCCAGAATCCCAGAGACTCAGAAACAAATCTCGGAACCCAGGAGCTTTTGGCAGAAATGCATCCAGTCGCTGCAGTAGTTTACTGGCGCTGGGCCACCCCAGCAGGGAAAGGGTGCTGTCCCTCCACCTGTTCCCTCTTGGCGGCTTGGTGGCTGTCATCCTCCAGAGGCCATTGGACTATCAGGTTTGGGCTCCCAGTGATGAGACATGCGGGGCCTCACAAGATGGGGGTGGAGCCGGCTCTTTCCTCCCTGCCCCAACAAGACCCCGAGTCACTGCCCATGAATGGCCTCTCTGGCTCCTGATCAAGCTGCTTAATGGCCATGATCCCAGAAACTCAAGAACAAATCTTGGAACCCAGCAGGTTTGGGCAGAAATCCCTCCAGATTTAATTGTTAAAATTTCACTGTCACTGTCACTGTCACTGTCCTCCCGTTGTTCATTGATTTGCTCAAGCAGGCCCAGTAACGTCTCCATTGTGACAACTGTTACTGTGTTTGGCATATCGAATACATCAGGATAGTTTGCCAGGCTATGCTGTGCAGGCGAGATACTCTTGGTAGCTTGCCGGGCTCTCTGAGAGAGGTGGAGGAATCGAACTTGGGTTGGCCATGTTGGCTGCATGCAAGGCAAATACCCTACCCACGGTACTATTGCTCCAGCAAAATTCAAAAAATTTCAAAATTCCAAAATCGTGCAGCCACCACTGCAGCCGCATAACAGCATATGTTATTCATAATCAGCAAAGAAAACAAATTGTCTACAGTTGCCTTTTCGGCAGATCTGAGTGTTGGGGTAAAATCCCAAATAATAGTGGTGGGTCTGGGGTCGAAATATTGAATAAAATCAAAGTAGAGAGAGAGAGAGAGTAATGTGGAAATCATCTGCTCCACAGGTAGTGGGAGGGAGTGAGGTGGGGCGTATACTGGGGTTTTTGGTCGTGGAAAACGGGCACTGTTGAAGGGACAGGTGTTTCATCATTGTATGACTGAGACTTAAACCCGAAAGCTTTGTAACTATTCTCACGGTGATTCAAAAAATAAACTTATAAAAAAGAAAAAAAATGAATGTTACATTAGATATTGTATTTTGCCTTAGAGAAGAATTTCGGTAGTATTTTGCATACCATGGTATGTCTACCTATCTTATAATGCGGAAAAAAAGTTTAGTAGAACAGAGAGAAAGAAATGGCAAGAACCTCCAGGGCAGAGCAGGAAAAATAAAGTTTATCATTCCCACTGCATTTAACATAAAACCTAACTTGGCACTCAAGACCGCAACACATTGCCCTTAACATCAGTTTAAACATTATCCCCCTTGACCTTGGCCCTGAACTCAGTGTGCTTAAAGATTTGTAGCTCAGGATAGATCACTGCATGAAGTTAGATTCAAATTTGAGAAAACCTAAAGCAGTTTCAGAGCTTCCTTGCTCAATCCTAGTCATTATGGGTTATGTTCAGTCTTAGAACTTTTGGGTACACCTCAGCATTTGCCTTGGGATTTAAGATGTATTCTTAAACTTTAACACAGTGTTGATATACTGTGTTAAAGTATATCAACACAGACCTGATAGGTCCATTTTCAAACCAAATCCATTTTAGGGAAGCTTCAGAACCATTTTCATAACTGAGATCCTCTGTGTGAAGTCCAGAATGATTGTCTCCTCTTGTGATCTCTATATTTTGGATGCTTTCCCAGAGGAAATGCCTCAGACAGATATTCTTATCAAGTGGTATATTGTAAGACTTCTCTCAAGAGAAACCATGGAGCATTACTAGGCAAAAAATAAACAAAGGAAAGGCAAGGTTTAACTGAGGCTTTACCGCAGATGAATTTGATGAGTTCAGTAGTTTAAATGATATTACAAAATGACATCACCTGAGGATGAGAGCCTAGTTGTATTCCCAGAATTTATCGATTGTTACTGTGGACCATTCCTAGTGAATAGAAAATAATATTTTAGACAGTTTTGGGCAAGTCGTCTTTAGTAAATAAAAGGAATTGCCTAGAAAAAGGAGTAATTAGGAGACTTTGGTCATCGACATCCATGGTATCTGTAGGTTTCAATGTACTGTGCTCAGAAAAGGTACAGGTTCAGGGCATTAGCTTCATCTGCTACCGCCAGAAATTATGGAAAATCAGAGTCATCTTCAAGTATTTTATGTCTATGTCCAGCTTTGAAACTTTGTTGTCTTCTCAGTTTTATTCATCAAAGTCAAGTTTCTTTGCTTCAGATTCCAAAATTAGCTGTGGACGCAGACAAATCATCATTCCAATTCTTAGGTTCCTGCTCAGTGGCTTCATTAATAATTAACTAAATTTATTTCAACAAAAAATCTAGCTGAGTTCACAAAGAGGAGAGCAGCTTCAGCAACACTTCAATGCTACCCCAGCTATGGAGATTTTTACCATAGTGTGTATTTTATTCTACTTGGTAAGAAGTTGGGGACAGGAGCAAACGTAAGTTTTGCATTCCATTTATATCTGCAATGTTTTGGTTGTGGTTATATTGGAAGTATAATTTTCTCATTGTTGTTCAATATGTTATTAGCTATGCAAGAATTGTGGTCTAATAAAGGCTGTTCCTCCTGCCCCCAAGAAAAGTAACCTGCTGACTAATATTTTTATTAAGAAATAGTGTTGGGTTGAGAAGATCGGAAAAAGTGCAAGGCTTTTTATCCCTCTGGTTTGGGTTGGGAAGATAGGAGATGGTGCAATGCCTGTGCCCCATCTGGGCTCTACCCCTGAACAACTTGATCTGCAGATCACAACTGCGATGGTCCTGGCGGTCTCCAGTATCACAGTACCACATCCTCAACCCTAGATAAGAGCTGCTGGCCAGACTTGCTGAGTTACTCCTGCCTCCCAAGCATCAATGATCTCCCCAAATAAGTAAAATAAAACTGATACTTCAAAAGACAGATGTATTTATCCCTCTGTGAAATGGTTTTTGGGGACTCTATTGAACATTCCTTTGGCTGTTAATGAGTCATCTGTCTTTTATCTACTACCATAAAATAACACCTTTACAACTTTTTCAGGATTTTTTTCTAGCTTTATCACAAAAAATAAAATTTATATTCCCAAGTATAAGAAGCATTTTTAATTGATTTGCTAGTCCTAGGTGAAAGAGATTTTCTTTCACATTTTATCAATATATTATCAGTCTAATTTCACTGTTTCCACAGGTATGTTGTTTTTGCACCTAAAGCATTCTATGTTGGCACCTCTCAAAATGTTGTGATTCAAGTTCATGGGTATACAGAATCATTTTCTGTGTCCATTGCTCTAAAAAGTTATCCTGACAAAAATTTCACATATTCTCATCGCCAAGTTAATTTATCTCCAGAAAATGCATTCCAAAGCGCTGCAAGCTTGACTGTATGTATTCTTCTCATAATTTCTTTCATATGTTAAATATTTCTGTAAAGTACGTACATGGTTGATATGCCAATCCCATGGATATATGTTAATGAAAATGTAATACATCAACTTAAGTGAGTTTATTGATAGATGAGAGATAAATATTACATGGTTGTACATGTTTTTATGTGGAAAATATTAGAGAACTTGTTTTTGACTTGTGATTTAATATACATAGAAACATGTATGAGTTTGAACGAGTCAAATGGGAATTATTACAGTGAAAGGTTTTAGTGAAATGAAAGCTAAATACATCAACACATGAATATGCTTCAAAATTAGATGTTGAATGATAGAAAAAAATCATTGATCTTGCCCGATTTTAGTGGGAAAATATATCTGGAGAGAGATACTGAAATGACTTATATTTCAAAAAAATTAGTGAATGGAGAACATTCTGAATATTTGTTTTACTAAGCTATCCTAATTGTTAGAAAGCATAGTGGCTCTAGAAAATTTTTTTTCTGAAATATTTATTTATTTTGGCTGTTTGTACTTGAAGCATACAAATTTATTTTCCAACCAAATCTGTGAAGCAAATATTCAAGGAAAATGAGAGAAGTGTGCATTACCCTATTAGCATAAAATAGATTTACCACATACATTATTATGAAAATGGATACATAGTAATAATACTTTAACTTTTGTTTTAACAGATACAACTAAAAGATGTGTCTGGAGGACACGTCACAGCTTCACATGTCCATTTAGAAGTTGTCTCTGATTATTTTTCAAAAGTAACACAAATTCCACTACGCTATGACAATGGATACATCTTCATCCACACAGATAAATATGCTTATTTTCCATTTGAAAAGTCAGGTATGAAGAGGGAATTTTTTTTCAAAAAAATAAATAGAACTGCATATATCTTTGAAAATTAGTATTCTAGGGATTGTATTCTAGGGATAGATGCTGAGAAGTGAGATTGATGGATCATGAAAGAATTTCATTTTACATTTTTCAGCAAGTCTATGTACTTTTTTCCACAGAGACTGAATCATGCAGCACTCCCACCAACAGTGGATGAGGCTTCCTATTTCACCACATCATCCATTTGTTTACCTTTGTATCACTTTGTTTTGGGGTCACTCTTGATCATGCTCAGGACTTACTCCTGGCTCTACATTCAAGGACCACTACTTAGTAGACCTGGTAGCGAGGCAAATGAGTACCAGATATAGAATTCAAGTTGGCTACAAGGCAAGCACTATACTATCTCTAGGCCCCCACAACCACCACTATATAGGAATTGCATAAATCATATAATTCTTTAAGGAGAATGGTCATTGTGATAGAGTTAATTGTTCCAATTCTTGAACATTGAATCTTTTCCATATGCGTTAAAATTTTTTTAGAGTGAAAACTTTTAGTGCTTAAGTCTTTTACCTCCTTTGTTAGTTGAATCCAAGGTACTTGTGGTTTTGGACACTATTTTAAATGTGTGTTTCAAAAACTCTTTCTAGATTTTCAATTTTATTGTTAACATATAGAACTTCAATAGGTATCTGTGCTTTGATTTTATAGCCAGCAATTTTTTCTTGACTTATTAAGGTTATTGTTTCTAAAAATTATTTCAGAAAGCAATGAGCTATGCTTTCTTTTCTATAACTTGTCTAAAAATACAATAGGTTGAGTGAATTAATTTGTTATTAGCCAAACCTTATTTTAAAGAGTAATGTTTAGGTAAACTTATTAAGGAGGTCTTATAAAAATATAACTTTCACGTCCAACAGTTTAGTTCATCTTGCCACCTAAACTTGAATTTAAAGTGTTGTACTTTCTTAGTTTAATTTTAATTTTCGTGGTCTCGTACTTGAAAATTATAAATGTTAACTTTAGGTCATTAAGAGTTGGCCATTTTTTGATTCTTAATGACTGTTCTCTAGTGGGAGCATTTCACTGTAGGGGTGGAGGGGACAGAAATAGAATGGGGAACAATGGGACAACCATGGAGGAAAACTGACACTGTTATTGTGTGTGGTGATAGACTGTTTTGGACGTAAATCTCTACCAATATTAATATTGTAAATCACAGTGCCTAAAATAAAATGAAACTAAAAAGAATTGAACTCTTTCTAATAAAGACTTTTTTTTTTTTACAGTAAAAGTTAGAGTTTATTCATTGAATGAAGACCTAAAGCCATCAAGGAGAAAAGTAGTCTTAACTTTTATAGTGAGTATAGCATTGATTTAAGTCAAAATTTAACCATGGGGGGCTGGAGCGATAGCACAGTGGGTAGGGCGTTTACCTTGCACTCGGCTGACCCAGGTTCAATTCCCAGCATTCTGTATGGTCCCCCGAGCATTGCCAGGAGTAATTCCTGAGTGCATGAGCCAGGAGTAACCCCTGTGCGTCGCCGGGTGTGACCCAAAAAGAAAAAAAAAATTTAACCATGGTATTTCATTATATAAATAGCTTTCATTATTATAATATTGATTAAGTGTGACATTGATTTATTTGAATGAATCAATATTAATTTAATTATAAGAAATCAATACTAATTTATCTGAATAAATTAATATTGCATTGGTCATTAATTTATCAATTAATGCCATTGATTAATTTATTGATGTAATTGGTAAATTAACATTAATTTTAAGAAATGAATATTAATTTATTTAAATAAATTAATGTAACAATATTAAATAGCATCAAACCTTACTTAAATATCAGTTGTATGCACAAGTTTGTAATTTTATTTTATCTTTTTAATCTCAATTGGTAGCTTTTGTGGGTAAATGTTAGTTGAAATATATTGTGATAGTCCATTAAAGAACACTTTTCAATAATTCAGTCTTTAATGCAGGTCTGTTGAGTGTTTGTTTTTACTTGCCAGTTGGGAAGCATAGGCAGATGTGGCAAGAGTTATAGAGACACTCATTGTGTTATCTATAAGAAATCTATGGCATAAGTTGTATCATAAGGACCACTTTAAGAGATAACTATTATCTATTTCTAGATGAAAGGCTGAGGGTTAAAAATTTAAGTGACCACTAAGATAATATTGACAATAATTAACTATACATACAGTTCAATATAGTAAATCAGTTATAGAAACACATAGAACCAATAGCAGAAAAACAGGAAATGTAAAGTGAGGATGATTACTCAATTATTGTTCAAACAATTACTAAAGGTCAGCCAATGATTGATTTTTTTAGAGATCCGTTAAGAAGGATTGATAAATAGAAGCTCTAGTATTTCTCAGTAATTGCAGGAAAAATATTCCCAAGAAGCAAAGAAGCAAAGTGTGGAGCTGAATAAAACAATAATTGGCAGAGCAGAACATCCCAGCAATAGTTTAGGAAACAGTTATAGCCATATTGTTTTACTTTAGGCTGAAAAAACTGTGTAGGGTCATATAAATTCAGATAGACCTGTTGGAAATGTCAATGGCTCCACCCCACTCGGTTCCTTTGCTCGAATTCTTCATGTAGAGGAAGGACACAGTGAAGAGGTTCAAGGCCATTGCCATGCCGTGTGCTAACTGTATTTAGGTTGGTCTTGTAAAGGAGAGGGAGACAAGAAAACTGTTATGCCATAACATAAATATTACACATAAAACTTATTGTAGAAGTCCCACTATGGAAATGAAGGGTTGTGAGGGTCCAATTGAAGTTTATTTAATGTTCCTTTAATATCTACCTTTATAAGTAAGAGTCTTATTAAGTGCCTTGGTTTGTGTGAACTACCATGAACTCTTGATAGTCTTGGTGTCAATACCTGACCATGCTGACAATGCTGCATGCACTTAGTTTCAACAACGAAGAGAGGGAACTAAGGAAGGGAAATATTCTTATATGAATATATGAATTCTTATCTGATTATTATTATTTCCCTGAGGGAGTTAAATATTATTCTATGAACTAACAATCACACAGTATGTGTGATTATATGTCATGTATTATATACATTTGACTCAACATTTATAGGTTCTTTAAAAATAAATTTTGTTTCTTCTTTACACTTATAGGATCCAAAAGGGACAGAATTTGTTGAAGTAGGAAAAAATACATATCCTGGAGTTATCACTTTTCCTGACTTCAAGATTCCGTATAATCCTAAGTATTTAAAACTATTTCTCCTTAGTTACTTTGTTTAAAAGCAATTGAAGACCATGTATTACGGCACAATTTAGTGAAGTCATTTACATATGACCAAAAGAAACTGATGTAAAGAAAGTTTTGGTTCTGATTTTTACCTCGGGCTGAAGGAGTGTCCTTCTTCCCTAGGAAGGAATGTCTACGTGGGCTCTTCTGCAGCAAAGCAGGGGCCTAATAGAACACAATGATCTATAGGACCAAACTAGTCTGTTCTATGCAATTCAGGGAGCATGTTTCACAGAAAAATCCACTGTCCCCAGATGCTAAGACTTTAATTAAAGGGAAAAAAAGCTGTACAAATGGAGGATTTCCACTATTAGTCCACAAAGACTTTTGAATTATCACAGAAAATAATTGTAAGGATTTAGATTACTTATTATGTGATTTGAGACTGTCATGTTGCATAATTCTTTGAAAATATAATTCTTCAAAGTGGAAAGGAAATTGGCATTTTTGGATCCTCCCTATGTGCCAATGATTAAGCACTCCAGTCCTTTATCATTCCCATTTTAAGTTGAGAATATTGAAGATCAGAAAAATGTATAGATTCAAGGCCACAGAGTTCTTTTTTTTTTCTTCACACCTGGCAATGCACAGGGGTTACTTTTGGCTCTCCACTCAGGAATTACTCCTGGTGGTGCTCAATGGGAATTGAACCTGGGTCATCCACGTGCAAGGCAAACGCCCTATCCGCTGTGCTATTGCTCCAGCCCCGTCACAGAGTTCCTAAATGGTGGGCTGAAATGGGAACCCAGAGATCAGTGAGCAAAGTGCCACCTTTGTTCTTTCCTTCTACCACAGTGCTCTCTAAAACTAATTTTAGAGATCTGTGGATGTGATAGAGTGAATACCTTGCATGTATGAGGGCCTGGGTAAGTACCCTGGCACTGCAAAAAAAAAAAAATCACACCGGTTTGAAGTTGTGAAATATTCAGAACTATGTCGATCATTTTTACAATTTTGACTTGATCAAAGTTGTAAAAGGTTCTGTTATCATTGACCATATTTTTTGTCACACTGTACAATATATGAACCTAATAATGTGGTTAAACTTATTACTGGGTTATCAAGTAATTACTGACTGAGGGGCTGGAGAGTCTTTTCAATGGGTAAGGCACTTGGCTTTCAAGTGGGCGACCAGGGTTCTTTTATCCCCAGAACTTCTTTTTTTTTATTTAATTATTTTGTTTATTGAACCACTGTGGAATCCCCAGAACTTCTTAAGATATCCAAGTTCTACTAGGAGTGATCCCTGAGTACAGAGAGGGCAGTAAGTCTTGAGTACTGTGGGTGTGACCCCAAAACTGTAGCACGGTAGCACTGTCCTCTTGTTGTTCATCGATTTGCTAGAGAGGGCACTAGTAACGTTTTTATTGTGAGACTTGTTACTGTTTTCAGCATATGGAATACACCATGGGGAGCTTTGCCAGGCTCTAACCCAAAAATAAGAACAAAAAAATAATTGATTGATAAATTCCCTTGCATTTAAAATTTTTTTAAATTAGTGAATCACTGTGAGATACAGTTACATACTTACAAACTTTTCTGCTTGTGTTTCAGTTTACATTTAAATATTTTGTAACCAAATATTTTCTGTGATACATTAGAGGATGCATGATTAGCATGAGAACAAATTTCAGAATGCACAACTCTTCTGAAAATACATATTTTTGTTTATAATTCTAGAGTATTTTTCAAATATGGTTCATAAATCTGTTTATTTTGGGGAGGCAGGGGACACACCTGGCAGTACTCAGAGGCTACTCCAGGCTCTGTTCAGGAATAGCCTTTGGCAATACTTGGGGTTTCTTTGCCATGCTGGGGATTTGAAGTGGGATCAACAGAATGCAAGCCAACTCCTTACCCCCAGAACTTCAGATCCATAAATCCGAAACTGCCTTCAGAGTCATATGGATTTCCTGTCAAGGTCTAGTGAACAAGATGGACAATAGGAATCTCAGCTTTACCACTAACTCATTGTATGCCTAGGCAAGGTGTGTTACTTCACCTTTCTGGGTCTCGTTTGTCTGAAGATGGAGATCATAGCACAATATATTCTATTGCATTTTTATGAGGATTGTAAGAGTTCACATATCAAATAATAAAAATCGTACTTGAATGTTACTAAAAACTCATTGAAATACTGTATGTAATCATTGGGTAAAATTATTATTTGACAACATCTATTTCCAATGTTTTATTTTCACAGTTATGGCATATGGACACTTAAAGCTAAATATAAAAAGGACTTCACGACAACTGGAACTGCCTATATTGCGATCAGAGAAAATGGTATTATCTTATGAATTGCTGAGAGCTCCTGTGTAAAACAGATTATAGAATATAGGAGGGACAGTAAGGATGGTTGCACAGAGGAGACTCAAGATAGAAGGCCAAGGACCTGAGCTCTTGGTCCGACTCATCTCAATTTAGATACTGTGCTCCTGGGTGTTGTTTCCCCTCATAGTTCAGGTATGGGCCAAATTGGATTAGAGGACAGGAGTAGATAATGTCCCAGCAAAATCCCTGCTAGTCTGACACTCTCTTCTGATCTACTTCTTTTGAAGCAAGAGAAATGTGAAGACACATAGGTTCTCACTGCCACTTTGTCCAGTCTGAGAGTTAGAATCTACTCCTAAATCCCAGTCATTGCTCATTTCCATCATCCCTAAAAGTCAATTATGTGTTTGGAAAATTACACTATTTATGAAAATAATAATATATTTATTTTAGATATATTTATATTATTTGTCCTAATAAGCAATTTACAAATATGACTTTTGTCCATATTTCATAGAAGTTTGCTAGAATATTAACATGTATGCTTGGGTAAATTTGTTTTTAAGCTACATAGATCACATTTTCTGCCTATCAGATTAATTAATGGCTTTATTATTTATAATTAGGAGGGACGATCAAGTTCATATCAAAACTGGAAACATGTTAGAGATACATCCACAGAATACCCTCTGAAATTATTAAACTCAACATTTGAAGTTGATTTATTAACTCTCTTGGACACTGTTGTTTAGGTGACAAAATCCCTGCTCTGTCTTTCCCCCAGTTCCACTGGAGGCCATTTTTCTCTTACACAGGGAAAAGCAACCACTACAGTGGGACAATGACCCTGAAGTCAAGAACTCCTTTGCTCCATTGGCTCCACTTCTCACTTTTTTTTAGAAGTCAATTTATTTTATTTTTTTTCTTTTTTGGGTCACACCCAGCAATGCTCAGAGGTTACTCCTGGCTTTGCAGTCAGGAATTACTCCTGGTGGTGCTTGGGAGACCATATGGGATGCCGGGAATCGAACCCGGGTCGGCCACATGCAAGGCAAACACCCTACCCACTGTGCTATTGCTCCGGCCCTCCACTTCTCATTTTTAAAAATGAAATTTTATTCTTAAGATAGTCACTAGAAGATGCCCTTCCTTGATGAGAGTTTGAGATTCATGATCATATTTTGATTGCACAAAGGAGAGTAGGTTAATAGCAGACATGCTAAAGAAGCAAAGTCAATTCCAATCTGATGAGCACTTACACTTGCACTCCCCAGTAGTGTCTCTGGGGAGTAACTTTGCACATGTTTACACTGATAAGACTAGGTCTGTCCTTACGGAGGTCTTACTTTAATAGCATATGTTCTTCAATAAGGATTTAGAGGAAAGAAGAGTTTCACCCCTAATTGGAGGATAAAGAGGCTTCCCAAGGTGTGATTAGTCATAATGAGAAGGATATCCATCTTATAGATGTTTCTTTCTTCCTTTCATACCAAAAATTTTCTTTTTTGAACAACAGTTAAAAGAGTGTTATTATTTTGTTTAGTTCCAGTGAGTACACCCTTCTATATTTTATTAGAACCAGAAGAAAAATTGATTAACCGTAAAAACATTGAGGATTTCAAGATTACTGTAAAAGTTCGGTAAGAAGTTACTGTTTTCTGATTCATCTATTCCCCTGAGCACAAAGAGATTTCACTTCAGGAGTCAAATATAATTGATTTCAGTGCTTGCCTAGGGTTCTATATTAAAAAAAACTGTGGGATTCAACATACAAAATAAAAAAGATTAAGAATAACTGCAGGGATGGAGATGTTGTAGACAGATTAAGGCACTTAACTTTTTACGCACCTACTCCCATTCAAATTCCAGCACTACATAAGAGCCACTAAGAACTGCCAGTAGTGATCTTTAAGCACAGAGCCAGAAGTAAGCTCTGAGCAGGTATACTTCCAAATTTTTAAAAAATAGCTGCAATAGGAATCAGAGTGGGGCGGGGGACAGTAATTCCTCAGCACAGAGTCAGGCATAGTACCTGAATATCAGTGTGTGGCCTAACCATTTCCTCCCCAAATAACTGGAGCTTGATTCATGATTCCTTTGAAGTATCTCTGTTAGTTGGATTCTTACATTTGTGTTTTTCCCCCACTTTATTTAAACACCATGGTTTACAAAGTTGTTCATGATTATATTTTTAGGCATTCAATATTATAACATCAGTCCCACCACTTACTGTCACCTTCCTTCCACCATTGTCTCCAGGTTCCCAACCACCCCTCAAACCTGCCCTCATAGCAAGCCCACTAATCTATTTTATATTGCTATGTATAGCAATTAAATGACTAAAAGATGATCAAAAATATTTTTGTAGAGAAAATATGTGAAAATTGTTGTCTCACCATGGGGACATAAAGCCCTTGTCTGAGTTTACTAAAGGTGTTGTTGCAAGTTAAGCCTTCTGTGTTAATGTTTTTGTTAGTTGGGATTGGTTGGCTTCTCCATTACATCCCATCCAGTCTGATGTGATCCTACTGGGATGTCAGTATTCTAGAGTTTGAGATCTCAGTGTTCTAGAACTCCAAAAGATCCAGAATTTTTAACTGGGAAGTCCAGGTGGAATTAAATCAAATTTTTAATTAGGCAGTGACTTTCGGGTGTGAGAGTGGTTGTCTGGGCTTTGTTAGGGCTGGAGCTGGCCCACCCCACTCCGAGAGTGCCTGGAAGTCTCTGCCAGGAATAAATGTCCAAGAAATTTTTGCAGTTAGGTGATTACCTCTTTTGAGATTTATTTATGAGTCACTGGAACAGGGCTGGTAGATGAGCTTACATGGTGTCAGAGGTGGGACACGGGCCAATTCTTATACTTGGGATCATGTAAGTCAGAATTCTAGGAAAGAAATGTCAGGATTCAATTGAATGGCCACAGTGAAAATGGCTCTTGAGTTGAATAGCACTGCTAATTTAAAAATATGATGTTAAAGCTTTCAGTTCATTTATGGCAGTTAATATTTATTGATTTTACAACTCAATTCTCGAAACCTAGTCTAGAATGGTTTAAGCTGACTCAGAAATCATAATTGACAAGTTACTTATTAGGAACAGTGACATCATGTCTCTTGTTTAAAATAGGAGAAAGTTCATGTTTTCTTTTGAATTAAGTAGACAATAGACCAAACATGATTGCCACTCAGTGCCTCTCTTGCAAACCACAGGAGCCAAAAGGAGAGAGAGAGAACAAAAGGGAATGCCCTGCCACAGAGGCAGGGTGGGATGGGGGGGTGGGGGGTGGGAGGGATGCTGGGACCCGGAGTGGTGGAGGATGGGCGCTGGTTGAGGGATGGGTACTTGATCATTGTATAACTGAAACCCAAGCACAAAAATTTGTAAGTCTATAACTGTACCTCATGGTATTTCACTAATAAAAAAAATAAATAAAGGGGGGGGGGAAAAGGTAAATACAGGACTCACATACTTGCCACCAGCACACCTGGGATCACTGTGATGTTTAACTTTTACTGAAAGATGCCACAGGAAATCGAACCCTAATTGTCAGTCCATGCTACAGTGATTTATGAGCATGGCCCATTACAAAGGCACAGGGATCCCAAGTTCAGTTCTCTAGAAACTATTCACTTTAAAACTGTGGAAAGATGTGAGGCAGAGGGAAACTGGGGTCATTAGTGTTGGGAAATGTATACTTGTGAAGGGATAGGTATTGGAATATTGTATGACTGAAATGCAATCATAAACAACTTTTTAACTCTATCATTAAAAAATAAATAAAAAGAAAACTGTGGGAAGCTGACTGAAAGCTTTTTATCCTTCTGGAACTCAGTTTCATCTTTTATCTATAGGAATAAAAATATCTACCTCAACTCAGCATCTGTGGACTTTACGGATATGGATAAAATGTATGACTAGACAGGAACACTTTCTAGAGTTAAAAAAATTTCATGTCTGATGAAATTTGATGAAATTATATTTGATCTTGTTTCTATAATTGCTCTATTGAAAAGAGCTAACAATATTCTTTTCTGTTTGTTTGAAACTTAATTAAAACACAAATTTGCAGAGTTGTTCATGATACAGTTATTTCAGGTATTCAATGTTTCAACACCAATCCCACCACCAGTCTGACTGTTCCTGCAACATTTTCCACCCACCCTAACCCTATCCCCTAGCAGGCGCAAAATAATTTACATTGCTTGCTACAACATATATCTCATAATGGCCTTACTAAAATAATTGAGAATTTAATGAGTTGGAAGGTGCTACTTGAGCCTTCTGTGTTACTGTTCTTGCTCATTGAGCTTAATGGGTTTCTATGCCACTTTTCTATCTAATTTTTCTGTCAGTACTATGAAAGTTGGGGATTTCTAGTGACTGCATAATTGGCTGTGCACTCTGAGATCTAACACCTTTCTTTTTTGACAGATATACTAATAATTATAGAAATGTGCCTGAGGCTGTAGTCTTTGCCTTTTTTGGAATAAGAGGAGACTTTGATGATAATGGAAATGAAATGATGTTTGCAGGAATAGAAAAGAAAATGGTAAGTGGAGCTCAAGCAACTTTTACAGAAATAGAGAACTAGAGTTAACGCACCAGAATATATAAAGAGAAGTGGGTTTTCCCTCTAGGACTTTACAAAGCTAAAAAGAATAAATAATATCTTAAACTCTGGGAAGTTCCACATCCATAGAGGCTTGAGTTTCTAAAACCTGCTTTCTATGGCAATTCTATCTGCTTATGGGCACAATATCCTTTCCTTTACATTAGGTTTCCTTGGATATACAGTGGAACCCAATAATAGTGTCAAATTTCAAACATAAAGAGGCAAGATTTAAAATCAGAGATTTTCATTGCCATCAAAGGTTTTTATTCCATGTACTATGGCTTTAGAATTCAGGTTTAAAAGCAATAACTTGTCAATGAGTAGAATACCTCATAGATCTCTACTTATGCTTTGTGTTGTCTCTAGCTGTAACTAAAATGTTATTGGTAAAACGAAGATTTTGCAGACTGATGAAAGAACTTTTTTGTTTTGTCTCTGTGAGTTTTTCTGTAATACTCTATCCTCTACCTTTTTGTCCTTCTTTTGTAAAACAGCTTATTAAAGGAGTTGCAGAAATACATTTTAATACTTCAAAGGCAATTTACTCACTAAATAAAACGATAGAAGATTTAAACAACAAATACCTTAATATATTTGTGGAAGTAGAAAAAACTGGTGAGTTCCCAAATTAATCATTAATTAATTTCTCACCACTCGTCCTTATTTCTATGATTCTCAGTTTCTCCTTCTTGATTTTTCATCACTTTATTTAATTACTGTGGTTTCTAACGTTGTTAATGATGATTTGTTACAGGCATTCATTATTCCCACACCAATCCCACCACCACTGTCACCTTCTCTCTACCTTTGTGTCCATTTTCCCAACCACCTCTCATGCCTGCCCCTGTAGCAGGCCCACAGTAATTCATTTTTTATTGCTTGCTACCATCATGGGGGTCTCCCAGTGGACGGTTCCACAACGAAATTGACCACATCATATTCAATTGACGGTTTTGCATGACTAATGTCCCTGTTGTCCCAAAATTCCAAATGGCATCAGACCACCGTCTCCTTTGTGCAAAATTCTACTTCACGAGTGGGAAGAAAGGGCTGCAAAATTTAAGAAGAGAACTCCCAGAACGACCACCAAATGGGAGCTCTTTGGCGCTATTGTGGCAACTTGGGAAGATGCTGTCATTGACAACATTGACGAGGAATACAATTGACTGGTTCAGCACCTCCATGATTGTGCGAGGAGCGCTGAGAGAGAGATAGCCACAAAAAGACATCTGTCTTTGAAAACTCTCGAGCTCATTCGCCAACACAGCTTGGTGAAAGCCTTAGGCAACCGCAAGCGAACATCTGAGCTTGCAAAGCAGTGCAGAGAAGCGATAAAGGAAGACCTCAAAGAGAGAAGAGCAGCAGTGCTGGCAGATGCGGCAGAAGCTGGGAGAACATTTGCAATGCCTGCCTGCCCTTCGCCAACTATAAGACCAAGATGATTGCCCTCCGAGGTCCTGATGGATCTATCACATCTTCCAGAAGGGCAATGGAGAAGATTATCCAGGACTTCTACTCGTATCTCTTCAATAGCCACGTCCACCTGCCCACATACCAAATTCTGCAGGATGGATATGTCATTCCCAATGTTCTCCCTTCCGAAATCCGACATGCCATTTTATTGGTAAAGAAGCAAACAGCACCCAGTCCAAACAAGGTCAGACCCGAACACCTGAAGAACCTGTCGTCAGTAGTCATTAATACATTGGCTCTGCTCTTCACACACTAGATGTCTGAATGCAAGGTTACATCCCAAAGGAAAATCAGCAGGACTGTACTACTACTGTATAAGAAGGGAGACATCCACAACATTGGCAACTATCACCCGATCTGCCTGTCGTCTGTCGTCTACAAGCTGTTCACTTGAGTCATACTGAATAGGATTGGCAGAATACTAGATGAAGGACAGCCATGTGAGAAAGCTGGGTTCCGAAAAGGATTCAGCATGATCGACCATATCCACACAATAACCAAGCTCACTGAGATTTCTTGTAAGTTCAAGATGCTGCTCTGTCTAACGTTCATTGATTTAAACGCCTTTGGTTCTGTTGAAACTGAAGCGGTCATCAAAGCCCTAGCCAAACAGGGCATTCAAACTCAATACATCAGGATCCTCCGTGAGCTGTATTGTGGATTCACTACCAGGATCTCACCATTCTACAGGGAGGTGATCACTGATGTCAAGAGAAGGGTTTGGTGGGGTGATACCATTTCACCGAAACTCTTCAGTGCTACCCTCAAGAACATCATGCAACAACTGAAATGGGAAGAAATGGGAGTGAAGATAGACAGCTGGCAACTACACCACCTGCGCTTCGCTGATGATATCATTCTCATAACAACAAACATTAGCCAAGCAGCACAAATGCTGGCTGACTTTGACTGTGAGTGTGGAAAGGTCGGACTACAGCTGCATCTCACGAAGACAATGTTTATGAGAAATGGTCTCGTTTCTGATGTTCCATTCGCTGTCAATGAAATGAACATCTCCAAATGCAACAGTTATGACTTCCAGGTCAAGAAGTCAACACGACGAATGACCTGGCATCTGAGTTGCGAGGAGGAAGAGAGCGGCTTGGAACGCCTTCAAGAGCGTCGAAGAAATAGCTAAGAGGACGAAGAACCTCCAGCTCCGGGCACATCTCTTCAATTCCACTGTTCTTCCTGCATTAACGTATTCCTCAGAGACCTGGGTCCTATGAAAATGGGATGAGAACGCTATTCGGGGCTCCCAAAGAGGAATCGAAAGAGCTATGCTTGGAGTATCATCCTTCACTCAAATGAGAGAAAGAATCTGAAGTTCTGACCTTCGTCGACGGTCCAGAATCAGAAGTGCTATCTCATTTGCCAAGGCGTCGAAGATCAGATGGGCTGGACACATAATGCGATTTGGAGACGACCACTGGACTAGAGCCATTACCGACTGGATTCCATAGTATGTGAAAAGATTGCGTGGCTGCCCACCTACAAGATGGTCAGACTTCTTCATCAAGACCCTGAACAATCAGTTTGACGCTCTTCGTGTTCCTAGATCAAGCAGACGCCATTGGGCTACACTAGCATGCGACAGGGGATGAACGGAGACATTACTGGCGCCCGCTGGAGCAAATCGATGAGTAACGGGATGTCAAGTGATCAAGTGCTTGCTACCACTAATTGGCTAGGCTAATGAAATGATCAAAAGAACTATTTCTGTAGAAGAAAATTTGTAAAAATTGTTGTATCTGACCATAGGGATATTAAGTTCTTATCTGAGGGTTTACTAAGTTGCAGTTGCAAGTTAAGTCTTCTGTATTACTGTTTTTGGTAGTGAAGAGCACTTGGCTTCTATGTTACATCCTCTCCAACCTGGTGTGCTCCCATTACCTACTGGAATGTCGGTGTTGCAGAGTTTGAGATGTCATACAGCCTGAATATAGCTGTGCGCTCTAAAAAATCCAGAATATTAAACTGGAAAGTCCAGCTGGAGGCATGGCAGTGGTTGTCAAGTCTTCTGAAATTATGGGGAGGTGCAGGAGGGGGAGGTCACCCATCCTAACACCAGAAGACCTGGAGTTTTTAGCCAGAAGGACCCATGCATCTGAAGTTTTGGGCAGGTTAGTTTCTCTGTGGAGCTTTGTCCTGAGGTGGTGGAGTCTGGCCCAAGACATGGCTGTGTTTCTGGTGCATGGGAATGGCTGCTGGGGCGTTGTTGGGGCTGGAGCTAGCCTGCCTGCCTCCATGATTACCCTCGAGGTCTCTGACAGGAATGGGTATTCAAGAAATTTTTTCAGCTAGTTGATCTCTTTCAAGATTTATTTATGAATCTCTCAAATAAGTTTGGTAGATGAGCTTACATGGTAGTGGCAGTGGGAAGTGGATGTGGTGATCGGTTCTTCCAGAAATAGGGGCAGGTAGGGGCTTTCTCCTCTTGTTATCTTGTTTGTCTTGTTACCTTGATGGACATATTTGGTGTTGGTGCTCACACACTTGATTGTTGTGTGTATCTGTGATTATACATCCAGTGTGAAATTTGCACATTTGGCTTTTGAGCTAGCCATGGGTCATACACTTTAGTTTCAGTTTTACTTCTGTATATTCTGGTGGTAGAGCTCCTCTGGGATCATTTCACAGCTCTTATTTCAAAGTTTTGTAGCTTCTGTTGACCGAATGTTGGGCAGAGATAGTTGTGCAACCAAAATATTGTTTGCATAGGGGATGCTGATGAAAGATACCTTTCTGAATGGTCACTCCCAAATCCTTCATGTAGAAGATAGTTTTACTGTTATCAAAACAAATAGGGAATGCTGGCATCAGAAATTTTCCTTGAAAAAATCAAATGAGAGCGTAAAATAATTCAAATTATCAAAGCTTCACTGTCATTTGGCTGTTTGCTTCCATATTGGTAAAGAGTTAACACTGGTATTTTAGCACACTACAGAATTATTTTGAATGTTACTTTGGAAATGAGAACCGGTCATATCATATGTGAATCTCTCTTACAAAGGATTATCAACCCCTTGAGGACAAAGGTATATTTCATGATTCAAAGGAAAATGGGGTACATTATCTGACAGTCTGTATCAGTATGCTGTAGTTGCAGCTGATGAATGGAAATCTTAACAACCTCCTGACAACCTCATATTTTTGATTCATGGAGGGGTCAGGACCTTCCAGTATGACCATAGCAATCATCCGATTCTAGGTTTATAATTTTGTATTAAATAATCTGTGCTGGATGAAGGGTTTATACATAACAAAATAAAGAAAGACACAGAGAAGGGAACAGAAGATGGGTGTGCTATACTGCCAGATTCTTAGAGTGATACTTTATTCCAACAGGATCTACACTTGAGTATACAAATCAAGTAGCTGATGTCAAGTACCAACTTTTCCCCTACACACTGGATTTGGTTGCTACTCCTCTTTTTTTGAAGCCTGGGTTCCCATTTTCCATTAAGGTGAGATTCCTCTGAAGTCTGACAGAATGTATGTGTAGTCTGTGGAGGCAGAGGATCCTTGAGGGATATTGGTGTGTAATACAGAGAGGATACTTGAATGGAAAAGAGACAGAGGGAGAGGAGAGGAGAGGAAAAAACACTCAAAAGCTGTGATGAAAAACCAACAACAGCCAGTGATTGTCTAGACCCAGTCCTCACCCAGGCAATGATTTTGTCCAACTCACAATAAGAGCTTCTGGAACAATTCAGTCACATAAATTGAAGTGAAAGTAATTATTACATGTTCTGGAGTGCTCCAATCAAAATCTAAGAAGAACTGCATTTGGTGACTGAATTAAATTCTATCAAGTTTGTGCCTGAAACTGAAGGAGGGGGTGTTACTTTAGGGTTCTTATAAAAGGATCAATATTAATTACTATTTCATTTACCATATTGAAATATGTTAAAATGTTAACTAGCTAAGGAAATGGATTTGATCCAACAGGTGCAGGTGAAGGATGCCTTTGGTAAATTTGTATCTGGGATTGAAGTAATTTTGAAAGCAAAGACAGTAGATAAAACTCAGGAGAAGACAAATCTGAACCTAAGAAAAAGCACAACAAATTATGATGGAGTAGCATCATTTGTGATTCACATTCCCTCTGATGTGACAACACTGGAGTTTCATGTGAGTAGATTCTCATGTATCCTATGTTAAATTCCCTTCAGTCTGTGTGCTATTCAGTGTGCGGGAATGTTGAGGATGGTCTAGAAATATCTTATTTGTGGTCATAGGAAGTACAATTTAAAGTGGTGGAGTTTCCATGAAAGTCATGAATCTAGTTAATCTGTACTTAGGAACTAAAATTTGCTCATATTGCTGACAAAATACAGTTTGGAAAATTTAGAATAGTTGTCAATAAAATACAGTAATAACAGAGTCATATACATTATTTCCTAGTATCATCCTCCTCATCAATTCACTTTGAGATTCACTAAAGAATCACGTATACTCTCCTCCTTCAACCACATCTCAAAAACTTGAGATGTGGCTTATTCTTCCACTACCCCACTGGAAATAATTTTGCTGAAGTTACCTGTCGGTTGCTTTACTAAGATCACTGGATATTTTTATCATTTCATTTCTTTTTTTAAAAAATTTTTATTTATTGAATTACCATGAGAACAGTCACAAAGCCTTTCAGTTTAAGTTTCTATCAGTCATACAATGATCAAGCACCCATACCTTCACCAGTGCACATTTTCCACCCCCAAGAACCCCAGTATACCCCCCTCCCAACCCTCCCCCTGCCTGTATGGCAGATTTCCACTTACTCTCTCTCTCTACGTTGACCACATTCAGCATTACGACAAAAGACTCACCATTATTATTTGGAATTTTCCCCAACATTCAGACCTGCCAAAAAGACATCATTGGATAATTTGTTTTCTATTGCTGATTATGAAGAGCATATAATGTTGCATGGCCATTTTTTGGCTATGTGATTTTAGATTTCTGATATTTTAGTAATAAGTCTGGAGGGATTACTACCAAAAGCCACTGGGTTCTAAAATTGGTTTGTGTGCCTCTGGGATCATGGTCATTCAGGAGCCGGAGGCATTTGTGGGTGGCAACTCGAGGCCTTGTCAGGGCAGGGAGCAGGGCTGGTTCCACCCACTATCCCATGAGGCCCCACATGCCTCGTCACTGCAGTCTCATACCTGGCTGTCCATTAGGTTCTAAAATATGACAGCCACCATGTCGCCACCTCCAGGGGGGAAAGGTGGAGGGACAAACACCCTTTCCTTCCCGAGCGGCATAGCACTGTAGTTTAAAGCACAGTCCAGATGCATTTTGGTTGGGCATTATATTTTGCTCGAATTTTCCCACCACCATACAAGCCTGCCTTCCAGGGACAGATGCTAGATCATTTACTTTCCACTGTTCAGTTTGCATATCAGGAAAGGTCACGCAGCCACTTATGTGGCCACACGGTTTGGAAGAATAGTCCTGGTGCCCACATACTGGAGTCATGCTCATGGTTTCCGTGATTCCTTCTGGAGAAGGCAGGGAGACTGCACCTACCCCATCTGGGACCTCCCAGTGATATCGGCTCAGTATGGTGCCCGGAGAATTCTCTGGGTGTTGTGGTGCCCGCCAGCCAGGTTTCTTCACTGCTGTGTGCAGCAAGATGGTGCTGGGGATGGGTTGAGGGCATAACTTCTCGGATCAGGGGCTGACTGGGAGCTGGGATGGAACTGCTGGACCCAGCGCCCCCATGCGGTTTGTAAGAATAATCTTGGTGCCCACATACCGGAGCCATGCTTGTAGAAGCTCATAGTCGCCGAGATTCCATCTGGAGAAGGTTATTTTTATCATTTCTTATCTTTATGGCTTTTGTCAAAGACATTTGACTGGTTATTTAAAATTGATGATTTTCTTTAAATTATATACTATTGCATTCTGTATTTTACTTACTTTTTTGTTTCTTTTTAAAGTCATTTTATGGGGGCACACCTAGAATATTGGGGATTGATACCTGGCTCAGTCCCATTGTGTCACTCCATTGGTGATTGGGTACTGTAAGGGATCATGGGGTGCTCAGCACCAAACTCTGTCCTCCTCCATGAAAAGCATGTGCTCAATTCATTGAAGTATCTCACTAGACTTTTTAAAATTTTTTTTTATTTTATAAGGTAGTTCACAATATTTGATTACATTTAATATTCAAACACCAATCCCACCACCATTACACCTTCCCACCACCATATTTGGTATGTTTCCATCCCAAACCCCAATCCCTGTCCCAAAACAGAACTGAAATAATGTATGTATATATATATGTATATATATATACACACACACATATATTGTTAAATCATCTGGCAAATTTTATTTTATTAACTAATTTTTTTGATGTATCACCGTGAGGTACAATTATAGACTTACAAACTTTCGTGATTATGTTTCAGTCATACAATGATCAAGTACCCATCCCTTCACAAGTGCCCATTCTCCACCACCAATGTTCCCAGTATCCCTCTCACCAACCCCACCCCATCTCTCCCACCCCAACCCACCTCTGTTGCAGGCTCATTCCCTTTTACTCTCTCTCTCCTTTTGGGTGTTATGGTTTGCAATACAGGTATTAAGTGGCCATCATGTTTGGTCTATAGTCTACTTTCAGCATGCATCTCCCATCCTGAGTGAGCCTTCCAAGCATCCTTTACTTAGTGGTCCCTTCTTTATCTGAGCTGTCTTTTCCCCCAGCATATGAGGCTTCCAATCCATGAAACAATCTTCCTGGTCCTTATCTCTACTCTTCTTGGGTGTTAGTCTCCCATTATGTTACTTTATATTCCACAAATGAGTTCAGTCCTTCTATGTCTATCCCTCTCTTTCTGATGCATGTCACTTAGCATGATACTCTCCATGTTATCTACTTTTATGCAAATTTCATGACTGCATCTTTTCTAACAGCTGCATAATAGTCCATTGTGTAGATGTACCATAGTTTCTTTAATCGGTCATTTGTTCTTGGACAGTCTGTTTTTTTCCAGATTCTGGCTATTGTAAATAGTGCTACAATGAACATACAAGTGCAGATGTCATTTCTACTATACTTTTCTGCATCTCCAGGATATACTCCCAGAAGTGGTATTGCTGGGTCAAATGGGAGCTCAATTTCTAATTTTTTGAGAAACGTCCATACTGTTTTTCAAAAGGGCTGAACCAGTCGGCATTCCCACCAGCAGTGAAGGAGAGTCCCCTTCTTTCCACATCCACAACACTGGTTGCATTTGTTCTTCTGGATGTGTGTCAGTCTCTCTGGTGAGAGATGATATCTCATTGTTGTTTTGATCTGCATCTCCCTGATTATTAGTGATGGAGAGCATTTTTTTTTCATGTGCCTTTTGGTCATTCGGATTTCTTCTCTGAGAAAGTTTCTATTTATTTCATCCCCTGATTTTCTGATGGGATTGGATGTTTTCTTCTTGTAGAGTTCAACCAGTGCCTTGTATATCCTTGATATCAAGTCTTTATCAGAAGGGTATTGGGTAAATATTCTTTTCCATTCTGTAGACTGTCTTTGTAATCTGGTCACTGTCTCTTTTGAGGTAAAGAAGCTTCTTAGTTTAAGATAGTCCCATTTATCTCTGTTTCCACTTGCTTGGTCAGTGGCATGTCATCTTTGAAGATACTTTTAGTTTCAATATAGTGGAAGGTTTGCCAACCTTTTCTTCATATACCTTATGGATTCTGGTCTGATGTTGATGTCTTTAATCCTTTTTTTTATAATTTATTTCTTTATTGAATCACTATGGGAAAAGTTACAGAGCTTTCGGGTTTAGGTCTCAGTCATGTAAATATCAAACACATTTCCCTTTACCAATACTTATTTTTAACCGCGAACCCCAATAGAACCCCACCTCCCACCCCTCCCAATTCCTGTGAGGCAGATGAGTTCTAGTTAATACTCTATCTACTTTGACTAGATACATTGTTTTGATAGAAGACGCACATTATTGTTTAGAGTTTACGACCCCCCCCATCAGACATGCTGAAACAGCATTGTGAAATGATTTGCTTTCTACAACTTGGTTTAAGAATAAAATGATGGATTTCTGCTATTTTACTTGTTAACCCTGGAAGAATTTCTATTAGAAGTTAGATAGTTAAGAGATTGGTTTCTGTGCTCTGGAGTCGTGGCCGTGCCGGAGAGCCGCTCGTGGGGGGCAGCTGGTGACCTCGGTCGGGCGTGAAGGACAACCCAGAACGCTCCCCTTCCCATGAGGTCCCTGCCGCCCCCACCCGCGGCTCAAACCTGCTGTCCACAAGGCTCCAGTGCGGCCGCCATCTTTCTTTCCAGAGAGGAGTGGGCGAATGGGGCAACACCCTTTCCCCTCCGGGCAGGCATGCTGGCGCGGTTTAACACATAGTCCATTTGCTTTTCTGCTCCAAGCGGGTGGCTCTCTGTGCTAAGTCCTTGTGCCTCTGGGGCCGTGGCCGTGCTGGAGAGCCGCTCGTGGGGGGCAGCTGGTGACCTCGGTCGGGCGTGAAGGATGGCCCATTATGCCCCCCTTCCCATGAGGTCCCTGCCGCTCCCACCCCCGGCTCAAACCTGCTGTCCACAAGGCTCCCGTGCGGCCGCCATCTTTCTTTCCAGAGAGGAGCGGGCGAGTGGGTCAACACCCTTTCCCCTCGGGGCAGGCATGCTGGCGCGGTTTAACACATAGTCCATTTGCTTTTCTGCTCCAAGCGGGTGGCTCTCTGTGCTAAGTCCTTGTGCCTCTGGGGCCGTGGCCGTGCTGGAGAGCCGCTTGTGGGGGGCAGCTGGCGACCTCGGTCGGGCGTGAAGGACGGTCTTTAATCCATTTTGATCTGACTTTTTGTATATTGTGTTTAGGTAGAGGTCTGAGCCCATGTTTTGCATGTAGCTGTCCAGTTTTGCCAGCACCACTTGTTAAAGAAGCTTTCCTTGCTCCACTTCACATTTCTTGCTCCCTTATCAAAGATTAATGATCATATATTTGAGGGTGTGTGTGTGTCAGGATATTTAATACTCTTCCATTGGCCTGTGGCTCTGCCTTTGTTCCAATACCATGCTGTTTTAATTACTACTGCTTTGTAGTAGAGGCTGAGGTTGTGGAAGGTGATGACTCCCATCTTCTTTTTCCCAAGAACTGCTTTAGCAATTCGTGGGGGTTTCTTGTTCCACATGAATTTCAGGAGTGTTTGATCCATGTTTTGAAGAATTTCAAGGATATCCTTATAGGGATTGGATTGACGCTGTATAATGCTTGGGCAATATTGCCGTTTTACAATGTTAATTCTCCCAATCCATGAGCAGGGGATTTGTTTCCATTTTCTTGTGTCCTCTTTTATTTCGTGAAGTAGTGTTTTATAGTTTTCTTTGTACAGGTCCTTTACCTCTTTAGTTAAGCTGATTCCAAGGTACTTGATTTTCTGAGGCATGATTGTGAACGGGATTGCGTTTTCATGTCAATTTCTTCTCTTTCATTATTTGCGTATAGGAAAGCCATGGACTTTTGGGTATTGATTTTATAGCCTGAAAATTTACTACACAAGCCTATTTTTTCTAGGAGCTTCTTGGTAGAGGCTTTAGGGTTCTCTGAATATAGCATAATATTATCTGAAAATAGTGAGAGCTTGATTTCTTCCTTTCCTATCTGGATGCCCTTAATATCTTTTTCTGCCTAACTACTATTGCAAGTACTTCCAGTACTATATTGAATAGAAGTGGTGAGAGTGGGCATCCTTGTCTTTTCCTATTCGTCTTTGTGTCTTTATTAATTAGCATGATTCCTGACACATTAAAGACCGGTGAGTATTGCTTCTTGAAATCAGAGAGTTCTCAACCCACACAAGTGGAAAATAATGGTCTTTCTTCTCTCTGACAGCAAGAACCATTTTTCTTTTGTCTTTATCTTTTATCAAATTTCTTTCACTAATAACATCTTCACCAAAAATGTCTAATTTTTCTGATTTGAGTAAAACATAGATGGCTCCAGCTTATTGTTTAAGCACGGAGACAGTCACATATACAGGGACAGTATTTGACATATATCTGTAATAGTATTCTATGACTGTACCTCACCTTTGTTTATGCTTCTTACATTCCTCAATTTTCTAAGCAGAACTTGCTTAAGTTCCTTCTCCCATCTCTCTCTCTCTTTCTCTCTCTCTCTCTCTCTCTCTCTCAGAAGTTGTGATTTGCTATCATTTTCATTTACAGTTAATGTCTCTATTAGCTTGTAAGAGTTCTACCCATGTATGAGGCCCTGGGTTTGATGTATCAAAGCCACAACAGAAGTAATTATCGCCACATCTCTCTCCCAATTTACACTCCTCCCAATTCTTTGCTTTTCTCAGCCTGAGTGTGTGTGTGGGGGGAAATACGAGACTGTAAGTTGTCATGTTAGTTTAGAAAGAGATCTAAGGTGAGAGCACATATGTCAGATCTCCTCCTCTTCTTTGCCATTTTTTGGACTCTTTCAAACTTCCAGATGTTCATAGTTAATTTTATTGTACTTAATCAACAGTATGTAGACACTACAGGCCATGTATGTTATTAAAGCATTGGAAGCTATTTGTCCTTATACAAGTTGTTATGAGTTCAATATGTATGAAGCACGTGGATACATTTATAGCTATCAGTTAGAACCAGACCTGTCAGTAAGTGACAGCTAGAACAATGTTGAGGATCACTAACACCACCACCACCCTCATTGTGGTTATCATTGCTGCAAAGTTTAGTGTCAGCACTTTTTTGTTTTGTTTTGTTTTATTTTGGGAGTCACACTCAGCGGCTTACTCATGGATATACACTCAGGGTTCACTCCTGGTTGGTTTGGGGGACCTTATAGGATGTCAGGGAATGAACCCAGGTTGGCTGATCCAAAGCAAAGGCCCTACACACTGTACTATCACTCTGGCCCAGCACTTTACATTTTTGTTACTGTGTTCTTTAGGTCAGAACGGATGATCCAAAACTTCCAGAGGAATATCAGGCTAGCAATGACTATCAAGCAGTGGCTTACTCAACACACAGCCAAAGTTTCCTATTCCTCAGTTGGCCTGACAGTTATAAGAGTTTGCCGGTGGGAAAACATCTCAGCATAACTGTCACTCCTAAAAGTCCTTTTGTTGACAGAATTACACACTACAATTACCTGGTAAGGTTACTTCTTGCAATATATCTTTTTCTAAATATTCCTTTAAATCATTTCTCACCTAAGACAAAGAAACACCAAAGTGATATTTAATTAATGTGTGGATGCACCTATACAACAGTTTATAGTCTAAATAGCACTTTCACAATCACCTCAGAACTCCTCCTTGAACTCAATAATACAGTGTTGCAGAGAAGAGAGTCAATAATCTGCCTTGGTCACAGGTATTTGGGTGTAGTTTTGAGATTTAGTTTGATGTCTTCTAACTCTTAGATTTATAGTCTGTGGTGTGAAGCCAGAAGTTTGATCAGAGCCTTCACTCATCCCCAGATTAGTCCTGGCCAATGAAGAGCATTACAAGGGATTAGACTCAATAGGGACTGTAACATTCTTTATGAGCATGCCTATTTACAAAAAAAAGTTGTGTACACAAATAAGAATGTAGTATTTTCAAGCATTGTTCATTGCTGTCTAAAATGCAAATAGTGGTGGCTTTGTTGAGTCATGGTGTAGTACCTAGCCTGTAGGTATGAGTTTGAGGTTCCATTGTCAATATAACTCTATATACCAATGGTCATCCTGGTGGTACTCTTGTTTGGGATCCATGGTAACAAAACATGGTATGTTAAAGGTGGTATATCACATCCAAAAGTGATGAGATCAGTGAAACATCAAGCAATAATAAAGGCAGGAGGAGAAATATTGAAAAAAATGGAAGTACAAGCTAGCAATAGCATGATCTTCTACTTAAATAAAGCCTGGACTAATCATTGGCATGTGAGTCAATATACCTGCATGTTAGTCTTAGGTTCTGATAGAAATGACATGAAATTGACTATCAGGATGTGACTAGTGTGCAGACACCAATTATGAAAATTTCTGCTTGGCAATGGAAGAAGTTAAAACAAGTCTCCTATATTCTACAGAGGGATTATGCAATGCAAAAGAAATAGAAATTAGAACCTCAAGGAATAAATTGCTAACTTATCTCTTTATTGAAAATAAAAAGGCCTGAGCTTTGAATCAGCATCATCAGAGGTGCTTTTTTAGATAAATTCCTGTTCAGAAAGAAACCTTTGAATACAAACAATTCCAAGGTCTCTTCCTTTCAATGACTGATAACATCTTATTTACTGAGCCAGTTGTTGAAGTAAGCAGGAAGTTTATTGATTCTGAGAGAAGCAACTTTCATGCTAATAAACAGTTTGTATCTACAAACCTCAATTTTTTTTTTTTTTTTTTGCTTTTTGGGTCACACCCTGTAGGATAACACTCTTTTGTTCATGGATAAGATTTTACAAAACCCAGCTATGCTCAGGGATTATTCCTGGCTCTGCACTCAGGAATTACTCCTGGCGGTGCTTGGGGGACCATATGGGATGCCAGGGATCAAACCCAGGTTGGCCGCGTGCAAGGCAAATGCTCTACCCGCTGTGCTATCGCTCCGGCCCCTACAAACCTCCATTTTTATGTTACTAAAGGGAATAGATAAAGTCATAATTTTATTATTATCACATGTATAAATTCATATGTGGGTTTATTGCAGAGGAGCATCTCTATGAAATTATTTCTCTCTATTATTTACTCAGTTTTCAATCGACTGATGTTTTTAAATTGTTGTTTATTTTTAGATATCATCTAAGGGTAAAATAGTACACTTCGGTTCAGAGAAGAAACTCCCAGGTTTATCTTCCCAACTTTTGAACCTTACCCTAACTCAGCACATGGCTCCTACTGCCTGTCTCCTCGTCTATTACTTTGTCACAGAAGATCAGATGACAGAATTAGTGTCTGATTCAGTCTGCCTAAAGACTGAAGAAAAATGTGGTAACCAGCTCAAGGTAAGCCACAAAGAACCTTTGCCAGTCTGAATTCTTCTTTAATCTGACACTGACTCTGCTTAATCTAACACTAAGATTATTTCATTCTCAACTCATTTCAGATTCTTCTGTCTCTAAATACACATTCTCGGGGCAGAGGTGTTTCTCTTACTATGGAAACTCAATCAGAAGCCTGGGTAGCATTATCAGCCGTGAACACTGCTACATATCAAGATGAAGAAAGAGTCAAAAATTCCATGGAAAGAGTTAAGTAAATGCTGATCACCGACACTTGGTATGACTTTGGACCCACTAACCTTCATGTTTCTCTCCATGGTAGAGAAAAAGGGAAACATGCATTTATAGCCACATTTATCTCCTCAGTTACATTTACGGACAGTAAAACAAATAACCAACATTTGCTAAACATTTTCTGTTTGTTTAGTATCATTACAAGGCCTTTGTTTCTATAATACTTTTGTTTCTTTTACCTGTTGGTGTTCCTGAATCACCCCATGTGATGCTTGGGAGACCATGTGTAATCGGGAGATTGCATCCAGGTCTCCAACATGCTATGCTTGAGTTCAAGACCTTTTAGCTATCTCCCAACACAGCTTCTGTAATCTTATTAAATATTCACAACAATCCTTAGAGATGGCCATCAAATATAAAGATATTTAAATTTTTTTTAGGCTAGGGAGAATAAAGGGGTGGAATGCATGTTTTGTATGCAGAGAGCATGGATTCTGTCCTCTGGCTCCCATGTATCCCGAGTACCACAAGGAATGTTTCCCAAACACCATGTTGTGGGTAGCCCCTAATTGACTGTGGCTCAAAAACAAGAAACTGAAAAACAATTTTTCCCACATTTTGTGGACTACTGACATCCTTATGTAAAACAGGGAAGGTGAGAATGTTTGGGATAACTGCAGAATTCAATTTTAACCTTTAGTATGATAGTTACTTGGGGCTAACGCTGCTCACAGTCCAGGTATTCCATAATGGTCTCTGATTGTTGTTTTTTTGGGAAATGGTTTCCTCTTGAACAGATACTTCAGTCTTCACACAAAAGTGGTCCGGCGTGTGGATCAGGTGGTGGCAGGAATAATGTTGAGGTGCTCTACTCCACGGGACTCACTGTCCTTACTAATGTGCATGCAGATAACTCCCAACAAGATGGTAACTCATTTTTTCTTTTCAATAAATCTTAAGATTCATTTTGGGGGCATGAAAGAGGAGATCTTCAGAAGTGCTTAGTAGACCCAAGACTACTCCCAGTAGTCCCAAGACTACTACCCAGTGACACCTAACCATCTCACACATAGTGTTTCATTCTGGGGTGTAATAATACTTAAAGTCACCAGGACTATAGCTGGTGGCAACTGAGTGTCAGAGGACCACATAAGAAAACACTATAGGCTACTAAGGCTATGGATGGTGGTATTGGGGGCGAAATGAGGTGGTGGTGTGTTGCCAGGTATCAAACTTGAACTCAGGGTCATGCACTAGTCTCTGGTTATATCTGGTGGTGTTGGGGATGTTGCAGGGGTGTGGAGGTGTGGTATGCATTGCCCGGGATGGAACCTAGGCCTGTCTGTGGAAGCATGCTTCTCTGACTGTCAATCTATCTCATGTCCCCTAACCTAAATGTCATTTCAAGAGAATCCATTGATTTTTCTGACCCTACCAAAGTTGGTGGCAGCCACAGCATAATCTTTGAAAATAAAAACAATTATCACTGTATCATTATCATCCCTTTGTTTGTCGACTACTCGAGTGGGTGCCAGTAACATCTCTATTTGTCCCAGTCCTGAGATTTCAGCAGCTTATCCTTACTGTTCTTTTCCAATGATTGGAGGCTCTTTCAGGGTCAGGGGAACGAGACCTGTTATAGTTACTGGTTTTGGCATATGGAATACGCCATAAGGAGCTTGCCAGGCTCTGCCTGTGCAGGCAGGATATTCTCAGTAGCTTGCTGGTCTCTCCAAGAGGCTCTCTCTATATATAGAGAGGCTACAGTATATATATATATATATATATATATATATATATATATATATATATATGGGTTGCAGCGATAGCACAGTGGGTAGGCCATTTGCCTTGCACGCAGCCAACATGGCCGACCCGAGTTCAATTCCTCTGCCCCTCTCGGAGAGCCTGGCAAGCTACAGAGAGTATCTTTCCCGAACAGCAAAGCCTGGCAAGCTACCCATGATGTATTTGATATGCCAATCGATGAACAACGGGAGGACAGTGACAGTGACATATATATATATATATATACACACACACATATATATATTTCTCTCTATGATTTGTTGCCTACTGTCTGAACCCCATCAAACATGGCGTGGTAATTATGGGAAATGGGTAGGAAATGTCTTATGATGTGTCGAAGCGACCTTGCGGCCCAGAAAGCAGCCTGGAGCATGGTGGTGGTTGGGTAGTGGAGGTTGGCTGCCGGGGCTGGTTCCCTTGGGGCGGGGAGGGCTCTTGCCCACCCCCCTCTGGGGTGCCCTGAGTGAAAACAGCCTGGCACAGAGTCCAGTGGCGTGGTTATGGGGCCTCATTTTATACTCCCCTCTGGGAGGAGCAGCCGTGAGTTCTGGAGGGTGACTGATGAGATTATTTGGTGCTGGCAGATAATGAAAAACAATTATAGTGGTAAAGATTATCTTTTAAACTCTATTTTTAAAACTTAATTTTAATAATGAAAAAACTAATACCCAGGGTCTGGGAAGATTACCAATAGGGCTATCACACATAGTCTGTCTTGCATCAGCCCCCAAGTCGATTTGGGTGGGCCAGGATTATACATGGTTGTGCTCAGGTATTGTTTTCATTTTGTTTCTGTTTGGCCACACCTTGCAGTGTTCAGGGCTTATTCCTGGCTTTGCATTCAGGGATCATTCTTGGCAGAATTCAAGGGACCATATGGAGTACTGAGGATTAAACCCAGGTCAACCACATGAAAGACTAGTGCCCTGAATATTGTACTACCTCCCCAGTCCTATTGTCCTCAGGTGAACGGCAGAGTCGAGTATTGAGACTGGCATCCTACAGAGGCACTCATGTGTCCAACACTTTAAGTACTCCTTCACCTCCAATCTGTGCTATTTTGTTAATTACTTATATGACTGAAGCATTTATTCTAAGAAATGTTCTCTCTCTCTCTTTTTTTTAATAGGTGCATCATTTAAAAAAATTCTCAGATCAAAAAGAGAATGGAAGGATGAAGTAGATCGAATGGGTACTTAAAAGTTTTATTTTGCTTTTTAAGTTACAATATAATAACCCAGCATCTGCAACATTTTTTCTTTCAAAATAATTGATATAGAGGAGGTGAAAAGATCAGTGCTCATTTTGATTTTACTTTCCACAAGCCTCAGTTACTGTAGGCAAATAATCCCACACTTAAAATTTACCAAGTCTTTACATGAAGAAAATTGTTCTCTCTCATGTCAGTTCTCTGTAGAAATAATAGAGACATCTAAAATTATCTCTTAGGTTTTACTCTGTCAAAATGTATGCATTTGTGAGAATGAAAGCCATCCCCTTAAAGAGAACAATACTAATACATAGAACTCTTACACTGTGACAGAATTTGTGAAACCCTCATGATCAGCTTCATAATTTTCTCTTTGAATACTTATACTAACTACATGATGAAGGTACCTACTGCCCCATTTTACATGTGAAAACATCTGGCACAGAGAGAAATTAATGATGATGATAAACATACAATTAATATGCCCAATACCATAGTGATAATAAATGGTATCGGCCAAATATAAATCTAGATCAGGCTGAGAACAGAGTCCCCTACTCTGGATATCACTATGTCCTACTGAGCACCACTTTTCTTCAGTGTATTGTTATTTACGACCTATCCAGAGGATCTGAGAGATGCGTATTTTCAGAACCAGGATTTTCTGTACTTCTCAAATTTCAAGTGCACTATCGATGGTATTAATTACTGGAGGAGTTACAGATATTGTGGTTTAATAATGATGACGGTATCAATAAAGTAATACCACCACCACCCTGCATTTTAGCAGGCCTTTGCCAAAACAGCATCACTTAAGGAACAAAAATGTTATAATCAGAGATCAGGCTTGACTTCTGGCTTACTTTTTACAGCTATGTGACTTCAGGCAAGTTATGTAATATCCCTGAGCTTCAGTTTCTTTTGTCAAATGCAGACAATTTCCTTCTGTCTTACAAAGTTCAAAGAATTAAATGAGATCACTTAAGTAAAGCACCTTGCTTAAATTCATTAACCAGTAACTTACTGTATTTTGTCCTTTAAAACCCCTTCTTTTTTTTTAACATTAATTTTATTTTTGAGCTATTAAGGTACTGTTATTTATATAGTTATTCTTTTTTTTCCCTTTATTTTATTTTATTTTATTTTTTTTTACAGTTGTAGATTTACAATTTTTTGTGCTTTGGTTTCAATTATACAATGATCAGATACCCATCCCTCCACCAGTGCCCATTTTCCACCACCATGGATAATATCCCTCCCACCCCCCATCCCCCCATCCCCCCTGTCTCTGTGGCAGGGCAATCCCCTGTGTTCTCTCTCTCCGTTTGGGTGTTGTGGTCTGCAAAAGAGGCATTGAGTGGCAAACATGTTCAGTCCATAGTCTACTTTCGACATGCATCTCCCCTCCTGGGAGGATCCTCCAAACATCCTTTATTTGGTGCTCCCTTCTCTATCTGAACTGCCCTTTCCTCTAGGATACCCGCTGGCCTCTAAGTTATGGAGTAATCGTCCTGGTGCTGATCTCAGCTATTCTTGAGTATTAATCTCATACTTTGTTACTTTATATCCCCCAGATGAATGCAATCTTTCTATGTCTATCCCTCTCTTTCTGACTCATTTCGCTTAGCATGATACTTTCCATATTGTACCACTTGTATGTAAATTTCATGACTTCATCTTTTCTAAGAGCTACATAGTACTCCATTGTGTAGATGTACCAAAGTTTCTTTAACCAGTCATCTGTTCTTGGGCACTCAGGTCTCTTCCAGTTTCTGGCTATTGTAAAGAGTGCTGCAATGAACAAACACGTGCAGATGTCACTTCGGCTACACATTTTTGCCTCTCTGGGATATATTCCCAGGAGTGGTATTGCTGGGTCAAATGGGAGCTCAATTTCTAATTTTTTGAGAATCGTCCATACTGTTTTCCAGAAGGGCTGAACCAGTGGACATTCCCACCAACAGTGAAGGAGTGTCCCTTTCTCGCCACATCCACGCCAGCATCGGTTGCTTTTGTTCTTTTGAATGTGGGCCAGTCTCTGAGGTGTGAGATGGTATCTCATTGTTAAAACCCCTTCTAACCAAAGCCAAAGCCTGGTTTTTCTTAAACACAAATATAATCATTTTACAATAGTGAATTTAAAGTTAGGATTGCTATTAGTTATGGTTAGGGTTAACATTTCTGACCCATCCAGACAGTCCAAGTGATGGGGTGCATTGGAGCAGTCACATGTGTCAGAGCTTTTATTCTGTGGTCTAGTGTCTTTTGACTTTATGATACTGACTCTGAGCTCCAGCCCTTACTTTAGCTGAAGTAGGTGTGCCCATCTGGGTCAATCTCATCCCTTCTCTGAACATTGCTTCCCATCGCTAAATGACAGAGGTGATAACCCCAATGTCCCAGTACGTGGTTTTTAAAAAAAAATGGAAAAGTGATCAAAAGGAATGGCCTTTATTTCCATGTAACTAATCACTGAGACTTTGTTGAATTATAGTGTGACTGTCTCTGCTAAGTGACCAGTAGAGAGAGACTGTTTGAAGGTTTTGAAACCAGTCTTACCCCATGAAAACATAATAAAATTATAGACTGCCTATAGTGTTTACTGGAGAGAGTAAGACTAAGGTGACTATGAAGTCTGTATTTAAATAGTCAAGAAATTCTTGATTATGGGACTTCTCTGCAAAAGAGGATTGATTCTGTGACTATTTATAAGAGTTAGATTTTGGTTTAGATGTCAAGAAAAATTATAACTGAAATAGAAGAATTTTCTGGGGAGGAAGTAATTAATTCCTTACTCAGGGAACTATTCCTTCGAGGGCTTGGTAACCTCTGGTACAAGAAGGGGTATGCCAGGGGTCACCAGGAAGGAAGCTGGACTAGAGTCTCTAAATCTAGCCACAAAACTTTGAATACATACTTGTCTTAGAGTAGTTGTAATATCATTTCAGTATCCAGATACAAACACATGGTGATCCAGAAATGCTGTCGTGATGGAACCCATAAAACAGAGGAAAGCTGTGAGACAAGAGCTGCTCGGGTTGACATTGGCCCCAGTTGTGTCAAAGCCTTCTCTGATTGTTGTGATCAGGCAAGACAACTGAGGGGTGAGAAAACTCATCATGGTTTCCTATTAAGAGCGTCAGGAGGTATGTATATATGTTAAAACTCTTACACTATGGAAAGTGCAGTAAGAAGGGACCTGGCAGAATTTGTGCTGCCTTGGGAAGAAACTTGGTTTAATACAGAAAAGTTGAAGTATCAGCTCCTCCACTTCAGCTGGAAATGGCAGAACAGACAGACACAGTGACACTATTGTGGATACCACTTTACTACTAATTTATTCTATAAAACAAGAATACTTGACCAAATGATTCTGTGATATCTGTGCATATAGTCATGTGTTGTATTTAAAATTTTGCATAAAGACTATAAGTGTGCTTTGAATAATCAAAACATTATTTTAGATTATGTAGTAAAACTTAGCTAATACTAGAATGTTAGGAGTAGAAGGAAGCTAAAAAGGCATTATAGAAAAAATTACTCAATTTTACATGAAAATAATTATTCAGTTTTACATGATTTGAATGCAAAATAGTAACAAGTATATTTCAGAAACTTTATTTTTTACTGACTTTTCAAACTATTTTTTGGGGGGTTTCTTCTGAATTGTGTTTGTATACACTATTGTGGAGATCATATTGCTTTAAAACTTACTTTGACTTAATCCTTAAAAAGTTAAAATTTTAACATAATTGGAATGTTTTGCTAAGATATAACTGACATTGTGTAAGTTTAAGGTACGAAATAAAATGATTGAATTATGTATATATATTGCTGAAATGTTATATCAGTAAATTTACTTAGCATCCATCACCTGCAGGAAAAAGAACTTTCATTTACAAGACCACTCTCTATATGTAGGTTCAGTGGAAGAATCCTTCCTTGCCTCTTCAAAGTCCTTGTTCTCCTAGACTTGCATTTCTCTGATAATAAGTGGTGCAGAGTCTGTTTTTACATACACTTTTTGGTCATCATATGTCTTTTTTGAGCTGGTTTCTGTTCATTTTCTCTTCCAATTTTTTGATGACAGTTTTTTTTTTCTTGTAGAATTCTATTAGTGGCTTATATACCTTGGATATCAACCTTTTATCTCATGAGTATTGGGCAAACATTCTCTCCCAGTCTGTGGAGTGTGTTTTGATTCTGATCTTCATTTTCTTTGTGGTACAGAAGCTTCTTAGTTTGATATAGTTTCATAGAGTCCTATTTGCTTATCTTTCCTTCAGTTTGCTTGGTCAATGATATCGAATCATTGAAGATACCTCTAGATTCAATGTCATCAATGTTACCTATTTTTTCACCAATATAATTTATGCATTCAGGTTTGATATAGAGATCTTTAATCTGTTTATCATCTCATGTCCACCAACATAGGTTGTTCCCAGTATTTTTGATATGTGCCACTCTCACTGGTTTAAAGTAACTCATTGTCTTCTTGATTTGCATTTCCCTAACAATAAGTGATAATGAGCATTTTCTTCATGTGCCTTTTGGCCACTAGTCTTACATAGAGAAGCTATTCATTTTCTCACCCCATTTTCGAAGGGTTTTTAAAGAAAATTTTTTTGTTGATCTTTGTGATTATTTTATATACTTATAGTACAATTCTTTAATTTTATGTAGTCACAATTGTTTGTTTTTGATTGTGTTGTCTTTGCCAGTGGTATCAGATTATTGTAGACCTTTGAGTTCCAAATCTTGAAGTGTTCTGCCTATATTTAACTCAATGTATAAAATGTTTCTGGTTGGATCTCAAGGTCTTTGATCTGCTTTGAATTAACTTTTGGATCTCATACAAACTTTATAATTAACTGTTCTAAGTCTCTGAAGAATGTTGTCTGAATTTGGATAGCGATTGCACTGAATCTAGTAGTTTAGGAAGAATGGTCATTTTGACAATATTGATTTTTCTAACCTATGGGCATAAAATATACTTCCATACCCTAGGTCTTCTTCAATTTCTTATGTGTTTTAAAGCTCTTATTCATTTTTAATAGTGAATCACCATGATTCACATACTTACAAACTTTCGTGTTTGTGATTCAGTCATACAACGATCAAGTACCCAACCCTCCACCATCCATTCTCCACCACCAATGATCCCAGTATCCCTCCCACCACCCCCACCCCATCACCCCCACCCCACCCCGCCTCTGTGGCAGGACATTCCCTTTGTTCTCTCTCTCTCTCCTTTTGGGTGTTGTGGTTTGCAATAGAGGCATTGAGTGGCCATTGTGTTCGATCTATAATCTATATTCGGCATGCGGGTCCTCCAAACACCCTTTACTTGGTGTTCCCTTCTCTATCTGAGCTGTCTTTTCCTCCAGCATGTGAGGCTGGCTTTCAAGCCATGGGGCAGACCTCCTGGTCCTTATCTCTACTATTCTTATCTCTACTATTCTTGGGTGTTAGTCTCCTATATAATTAAATTATAATTTTATAATAATAAATATATAATATTTATATTATATATTATATTTTGATAGCACAGTGGGTAAGGCCTTGCACACAGCCAACCTGGTCAGCCCAGGTTTGATTCCTTCACCCCTCTTGGAGAGCCTGGCAAGCTGCTGAGAGTATATCTCCCGCATGGCAAAGCCTGGCAAGCTACCGATGACATATTCGATATGCCAAACACAGTAACAAGTCTCACAATGGAGGAATTACTAGGGCAACTCGAGCAAATTGATGAACAATGGGAGGACAGTGCTACAGTGCTATTATATTTATAATAAATATAATAATAAAGTATAATAAATACATAAAATAAATTAAAATAAAATTAAATATATAACTTTATATTCCACAGATGAGTGCAATCTTACTATGTCTGTCCCTCTCTTTATGACTCAGTTCACTTAACATGATACTTTTTATGTTGATACACATATGCAAATTTCATGACTTCATTTTTTCTAACAGCTACATAGTATTCCATTGTGTAGATGTACCAAAGTTTCTTTAGCCAATGTTTCTTTAACCAGTCATCTGTTCTTGGGTGCTCGGGTTTTTTTTCCCAGATTTTGGCTATTGTAAACAGTGCAACAATGAACATACAAGTGCAGATGTCATTTCTACTATACTTTTTTGCCTCTTCGTGATATATTCCCAGAAGTGGTATTGCTGGGTCAGATGGGAGCTCAATTTCTAATTTTTTGAGAATTGCCCATACTGTTTTCCAATAGGGCTTAACCAGTCGGCATTCCCACCAGCAGTGAAGGAGAGTTCCTTTCTCGCCACATCCACACCAACACTGGTTGCTTTTGTTCTTTTGGATGTGGGCTAGTCTCTGTGGTGTGAGATGATATCTCATCATTGTTTTGATCTGCATCTCCCTGATGATTAGTGATGAAGAGCATTTTTTCATGTGCTTTTTGGCCATTTGGATATCTTCTTTGAGAAAGTTTCTGTTCATTTCATCACCCCATTTTCTGATGGGGTTAAATGTTTTCTTCTTGTAGAGTTCCTTGTATATCTTTGATATCAACCTCTTATCAGATGGGTATTGGGTGAATATCCTTTTCCATTCTGTAGACTGTCTTTGTATTTTTTTCCATTTTTTAATTTTTTATTTTTTTTCAGTTCATAGATGACAGTGAGGGTTTTTATTCTCAGATCTGATGCTGAATGTTATTTTGAAAATCAGAGGTCCCATTAGCTCCATTCTAAACAAGTATTCAGCTCCAAGATTACACCTTGTTCTCACCAACAAGATAAATGAACCAGATAGGAAAAAGATTAAGGTATTTTAGTCCTTGTTTCTTTTGAGGTGCAGAAGCTTCTTAGTTTAAGATAGTCCCATTTGTTTATCTCTGTTTCCACTTGCTTGGCCAGTGGTGTGTCATCTTTGAAGATACCTTTAGTTTGAAGCTCTTATAGTGTAGGTCTCTCACTTTTTTTTAAAAAGGTAATTCATTGATGTTTTTGGGTATTGTTTTAAATGGCATGGATTCTTTGATCTCCCTCTCCTCTGATTCAATATTTACATTTAGGAACGCAAATGATTTTTGTATATTGGCTTTGTAGCTGGCCACTTTGCTGTATTGGTTTATTGTTTCTAAGAGATTTTGTTTGGGTCTTCAATGTCTATTAAATGTCATATGAAAACCGAGTTACTTTGACTTCCCCATTTCCAATTTGAATCTCTAATTTCCTTTTTCTGCCTGAGTGCTGTTACTAGGACTTCTAATACAATGTTGATTAAGAATGAATCCAGTGGATATCCTTGCCTTGTGCCTCATCTCAGCAGGACTGCTTCAGGTTTTCCACTTTTAGGAATAATAATGACAATGTGCTCTTTATACGTAGCTTTTACTATCTAGAGGAAGGTTCCTTCTGCCACTATTTTATTGAGGGCTTTTTTCTTTTATTATGAGCGAATGTTGGATTTTGTCAAAATCTTCCTCTGCATTGACTGATATGATTATATTATTTTTATCTTTCCTTTTACTGATGTGTTGTATTATGTATATTGATTGCATATATTGAACCATTCTTGCATACCTGGGATGAATCCCACATGATCGTGGTGTATGATTTTTCATATGTGCTGTTGGGTTCAGTTTACTAAGATTTTTTTTTATGTAGGAATACTACTATTTATTCAGCCACTGATTAGCTGATTGAATTGGGCTTGAACTCCACCTTACTATTTATTTTTTATTTTTTATAATTTTATTTATTGAATCACCATTAGAGCAGTTACAAAGCTTTTGGGTTTAGGTCTCGGTCATACAATGAAACACCCACACCTTCACCAGTGCTCATTCTCCACCACCCAAAAACCCCAGTATACCCCCATCCCACACCCTGCCCCTACCTGCGGGGCAGATGATTTCTCTCTCTACTTTGATCACATTCAATATTTTCACACCAGACCCACCATTATTAGTTGGGATTTTACCACAATACTCAGATATGCTAAAAAGGCAAGAGTAAACAATTTGTTTTCTATTGCTGGTTAAGAATAACATATGATGTCACATGTCTGCAGTAGTGGCCGCGTGATTTTGAAATTTTGAAATTTTAGCACTTAAATCTGGAGGGATTTCTGCCGAAAGTCACTGGGTTCTGAGATTTGTTCCTG